CATAATTGCATTTTGTACAAATACTTTGTAATCCCTTTTTTAAAGAGAGTTGGAGGAAAGTTAGTTTCTTTAAAAAGCAAGTAACACAAAATTGACAAAAGTAATTACATCCTAGAAGTTAGACATTATTGGAGTTCTCTAGTTTTTTTTTTTTTTTTTTTTTTATTATTATTATATTTTTGATTAAACTCTATGCTGAACTAGGATGCATGTTGAGATCTAAAGATTTCTGAACACTGAAAGTGGATTGAAGAAAATAGGTCATTGTCAATTTAAGTCCAAAATAATATACCATAACTGTTGGCACTATAGGATATTTTATTGATCGCATTTGTAACTATAATCCTGGATTTCCTCTATTAAACAAAATGCCAATACCAGAGACTTTTGTTTTCCTTATTCCAATATTTTTAAATGCCTTAGAAAACTTGTAATTTGTTATCACAAATATTAAATATAGTTTATAAGATCCTTAACATATTTATCTGATTAAATCTAAACACTTATTTCACTTCTGTTTATTGTATCCTTTGATTTGGGTTAGCTAAATAATTCTGCATATGATGAGCGTTCCAAAAAGCCTTTTGCTCCAAGCTGGAGAAAGACCGGGTTTGCATGGTTAAAGTGCACTTTTTCACATAAGAAGACTTGGAAATAAAAGCTCCCAATGCAATCGGTGCAGCAGCAGCAAAAATCTAAGCACTGCTTTGAAAACAGAGAACATTTAAAGGGGGAAATAGCTGCTTCTATGAAGCATGAGTCACTGGTTTGAAACATGCAAATGTGTTTAACATAATACCAAGGAGAAAAGACATCTGACCTTACAGAGGCTGTTTATGCTGCAAACCTATGGGAGAGAAGATGCTTAAGGCCAAGCTCACATTTAAAAAGAGATCCCACTGCTAGATTATTCATTTACACTAAAGCTACAGAGGAAAGTGGGCCACTGCTCCACAACAATGGTGAGGAAGGCATGTAAAAAATCATAAGAGATTAGATTAAATACATTAAATGGAGATTTTGGGAACTGGATGTTCTCATTTGGCATGAGAACAAAATGTACAAAATGTACTGTGTTAATTAAAAAAAAAAGTAGTTATAAGGTTTTTAATGTTTTAATGGGAAGAAAAATAAGCCATCTTTCCTTTTTGTGTCAAAAGATGATAACTATAACTGAATTTTTATTTCCAGTTGTAAATTATATATATATATATATATATATATATATATATATATATATATATATATATCATTGTTACTTTATTATCCTTTGAAGTCACCTAATTCTGAAAACTTTATTTTCTACCACCTTAAAGGACCTGTAATATTTTTATGGAAGTTCCAATAAAAAAATAAATGCATATCTGTATTTATCTAGTTTTAATTTGTGCAGTAAGCCGAGTTCACGCGAGATTTTGACAATTAAATATAGACTGAATTAGATTTTCTTTATTTTGACCCCGTTTTTCCCCCACGTGGATCGATGGATGGATAAGTGCAGCTCTGCATAAACCTCTTTTTCTCCTTGAAATTTCGCATCTTTCAGACCCTGTTGGAAACTTTCTCCAGCGAACACGTCTTTATCTACCCTATAAGGTGGCTTCCCAGTATTTTCATCTCTAAGAAGGAACTAACGGTGAGCTTAACCAATTATTAACATGTTTTTAACTTAATTAGCTAGCTCCAGCAGCAGAGCTAATGCTAAGCGGAGTTAGCTTATTTAGGAACTCATTCTGCTCTGAAAAACATTTATTTTTCTGTTTCTGCGTGTGTATAAATAATTTCCCGTCATTAGCTAATAATTAAATAAAAAAAGGTTGTTTTATAATATCATTAACATCCTTGAACTTTTTCACATGCTCTGACATTATTACCACTTTTTTTTTTTGGTGGAGCTTTAATTGATAAAATAACTCAAATAGTATAACAAGTATGATTGTGAAGTCGAAGGAAACATGAAACAGACATTTTGGCCATTTTTTAAAAGCCATTAACTTTATCTGGGAGGCTGTCGGTAGCGAGGCGGGCGTGCTTATTGGGCGGCCATCTTTGGTCAGACCATGTTTCAGACGGCTGCTGTCAAAATGAATAGGAGGCACCTCCAATCTCATTTTAATCACATGTAAGACAGGTCAAATATCATTTCACAATAATCTCTGACATGTCATAACCCATTTAAAGAACAAAATATATTTTAAATTAACCTTTTTAGTGAGATTATAAATTTCTTTACAGATTTAAAACGATTTAAACTGAGCTCAAACTGGATGAGGGATTTGTAAAGTTATATATTTAGCAATTAAATATTAATATGACAAAACACAAAGTTTTATTTTAATACATTACAACATTATCTAATATACAAATATATATTTAAATGTATATTTTTAGCATTATTATTATTCAGTATTTTTAAGGATTGCTTTTTTGATTATGAGTATTATGATCTATAGAGGAAACTTTGTTGGAAAGTGATTTACAAAAGAGAGTAAAGTTATTATTTGGTATTTTTTTAAATTAATTTCAGAGTTAATTTTTATTTAAAAAAATTTCATTGTCAAGACAATTTAAGTCAAATCGTAGTGAATGGTAAATTTATGTTGTGTCTCACTAAAGGATTTTTTCTTATGTTTGTATTAATTTCCTCCAAAACTCTTTTTTTTCAAACCTTTTTATTATTATTTTTGCAAATGTGAACATTTATTATTTTTTTATGTTAATGTGTATTTTATATTTATATCTCCTGTTGTATCCTAGCAGATTTATATACACACAAAAACATCTGTCTATAAAATATATTAATAGTTAAATATATTTATATAGTTATATATTCATTGGTTTTAGAAATCAGGGCGTTTTAAGCACTTTTATCTGCTTTCATCCCTGCTACTCATTAGCACCTCTTGTTTTAACACCAGAAAAACAGTACCTGTGAAAGATGAGGATAATCTATCATAAAATCCTACTAATTAAAGGTAATTCCACAGGATCTGATTTGTTGTCTCCATTTATTTGTGAATCCATAGGCGGAATAAAAGTCGGGAATCCTTAGAGGTAGCACTGGGTGTTTGCTGTCAAAACCAAAATTAAAATAATGTATTAAAGCGGAAAATCAGATCAATCAGTTGGTCCCATGTAACTGCGCTGTCACACCTTGACCATTTAGCCAATCTGTGTCGACGTCCCAGAATCTTTTAAAACGCTGACTTTGTATGTATTTTTTTAAATTTTGGGCGTATACATAGAGTATTCATAACAAGTCCAGAACTTATGCATAATGCACAGCAGCGTAGTGCTCACAGAGTTCCACCATTAGCTTATCATACACGCCTAACTGCCATTGTCTCCTCCGTCCATCCATGGTCTGACCCAGTCCCTTCACTGAAGTTGATCTCTTCTTCTTCTGGCTCTATTAGCACATTCTGGAACAGAGTCGAATTGATGAGATCATGCTGATGTTGGAGGACAGCTGGCATGTATTCCCCTCTCAGCCTTATGGGATCCTCCATGTCTTGTGGAACATCTGCTCACAATTCCTCCTGTGAACCCCCTTTATACCAAAGCGCTGCCACTATGCCATTATACAATAGCTGGAAGTTAGAAACACGTTCATTGGTCATTTGGAATACATCAAATATACCTGCATATGTTGATTTGCGTTAAAGATAAGTTCTTGATAAGTTACACATAAGTTATGCACAAGTTACTCATAGGTTTTCGATAAGCTAGACACCAAGACCCGTGATTAACTTAGCTTCAGTGTGCTTATTCAAAACATAATTTTATAATTTATCAAATGTATGCCAGCATCAGCATACGCTGGTCTAAATCGTCACTGTGTGACAGCGTCATAACCTGTGAAACGTTCTCATTTTTAGTCAGCCACTTTATCTGGAAATTGGTTCAGAGTTAACCGGATTCAGAGTGTTTAAAGTCATAAAGTAGGTTTAGCCTCAATTGACGTCTATTTTTTCCGACAGCACCTTGGTCTGACCTCAGATGGCCGCTCTGTCGGCATGCCTCTCAACCGATGACGCAGAGTCTACCTATGTCTGTTAAAAGCTACAGGTTGATTTTTGCTTTGGTTCTCCCCAGTTTTTACATCTTTTGCAGAATCTAACAGATCTTTTCCTAATTGCTCTGCAATTTACTTCCTCCATCCTCCCATCAAATCTGACCAGCTTCCCTCTCAACGCAGTTCAAAGTACAGGATGACGCTGCCACCCCCATGTTAACCCAGGTTTTTTTTTAAACAATTTACAATAAGTTGTATTTTGGCAATAGCTAGGAGTATCCTCATTTGCATTTTCACTGAAATTACATAATCAAAAATGTAACAACTCACGTCTAATGTCTACATATGTTCTAAGTTACACTACTTTTGTTTCTTGAATAATTTCACTGACACCATTTTCTTGAAAAAAAAAAAAACGTTTTTCAACATTGACAGGTCCCCCCAAACACTTTATCTCACTTGTATTGAGTTATTGCAGGTAAATACAGCTCTTGTCTCAACACCGTACTCTTAAAAGTGCCAACACTGAAATTAATACTACTTTTGGCTAATTCTGCATTTACATATTGTTAACTAATGTGCATGGTCCCTAGCAGGTACATGAATAAAGGCAAAATAGGAGACGAGGAATTAGAAAAAGAACAAAGGCTTATGTCAGGAAAAGGCAAAACAAAATATATTTCTTGATGAAAACAAATGTTTACGGAAAAGGAAATGTATACATTTCTTTATCAATCATTTTTTTACCGATCTTCCATGAACTGTTAGTTCTGCTGGGTGTATATTTGTTTCATTTTCCCTCCATAGTTATGCTCAACTATTTGTTCATTTATACATTTTTTATTTATATAAAAGTTCAAGGAGTACTGATACTATTGCGACTCAGTGTAACCTTTTCCCTGGCAGAAGCCTTTTACCCTAGTGAATAATTTCTCTCATTTTTCTATTGATTTTCTTAAAAGGAATTGCTCCAATGTCAAACAGGATGATTGATGTTTCATGTGGCCAAAGAAAGAAAAGAAAGTTGGCACCCAAAGCTCCAAATAACCAGTCTGGATCTTCCAAAGTCGTCCTGCTAAATTCCTCCATTCTCCTGCTGGAAATCCCTGCTGACAACAACATCAGCCTTCCAGTATGGGATGCTGTGAGATCCATGAAAGTTGGCGTCACCTGGACAGTCAACCCCTACAGCATCAGTGTCAACTTAACACCTTTGACTGGGAAGGAAGCGGACGTCACAACTTCCTGCAAAAGCACAACCAGCATGGCAGCGACTTCCGAGTCTTCCTCGCTTCAGCCCCAGATCCAGAACACTTCCTGTGTGTTGCTTACTTTGTCCCAAAACTCCCCGACACCACCATCCATCACTTATCAGCCAATCGTTAATCTAGTCTGCCCGATTTCTGTTTCACTGCCTCTCATCATCACTCATTCTTCAAGGAGAAAGCAAACTGGTATTCTTGCTACTAAAAAGCTCAAATCTTCCAGTCTGGTTCCGATAAAGCATTCTGGTGACCTAAATCTGCCGTCCAAGAAGCCTAGGCTCATGGCGTTTCACACAAAGATCTCGTCTGACGTCGTCATATGCGACAACTTCCTTCTCGGAACATGTGGTCAAGGGGTGAGGTGTAACATGCACCACACTCCTTACCCATTTCACTGGCAGCTGTGGTCTATTAACATCCACCATTGGGTGGACCCGTCGCCTCGTGTCCAGGTCTTACTGGAGAAGACATATTGCTGTGCTGATCGGGACGTTGCTACCCTCAAAGATGGGTGAGTTTTAGTTCCTTCTCATGTTTCACTTTGAAGGAAAAGTCCAGTCAGCAAGGAATAACCAATGGATCATGATCTATACCTAAAACTAATATTTTCGCGGTGATTTAATGAATAAAAAAATTAAGTAAAAAAATGTTAAATAATCATTTTCATCACTATCACTGATTCTGGGAGCGGCCATTTTTTCCTACATATAGTAACACCTCACTCCTGCCATTTTCCGGTAGTGACGTCACGGTGCGGTTAGCCTAGCGCCATTCTCCCCGCTTTACAAGCAAAATCAATGGGAACTACTAGAAATTCACCAGAGCTATAGTGAAACTGACAATGCCCACGTGCATGGCAGCTGGATGTTGGATTACATAAGGTAAAGGTGAAGAAAAAAATTGTTATTTCACCTTTCTAATTCCTGATCCTCCACGGACGGGTTGGTCGTTGGATCGCCAACTTGAAGAGGGAGGATTTGCCATCGAACTTCTGGCCAGAGAAAAAACACGTAATATGTAGCCAACATTTGGAAGAAGAATGTTTTCCAGATGACTTGGATAATAGCGCGTTGTGACAAACACCAGATACAGCACTGGGACTTGATCAACAGCCGATACCGCACCGTGACGTCACTAACCAGTAGGTGGCAGTAGAGTTCTTTGACAAACATGGATGCCTCCAGTAAAGCACATTCAAATGAAAATTACTCTTCATTAGACACACTTAACATTTATTGTACAGTATTAGGGCTGCAACTAACGATTATTTTAAAAATCAATGAATCGGCCGATTATTTTTTCGATTAATCGATGAATCTGACAAAAAAAAAAATTTTTATTAACCTCTTTATTCCAAAATAAACATTTTAGACAGAACAAACAAGCACACAAGTACAGGTTAGTCATCAACTGTACTGGTGCAATATGAAAAATAAATGTTTGTGTAAAAACTACGCAAACTTACATGAGAAATGTAGCTGTACATCCACAAAATATAGGCTACTTTGTTTCATAAAGCGCAAAAAGAGACAAGCATTTTTGTTTTTTAAAGCCCCTAAGGGGTTCAAACAATAGGTCCCCCCATTTCAACAAATGAGTTTTTTTTAGACTAGAAGAGTTCTGCCTTTTAAGACAGGAAAGTATAGCAGTTGGTGCTACTTGAGAAAATACTGAACCATAGAGATAAAAATAGCCCTGTGATTCAAATTATAAATTGTATTTGGAATAAAAATGAGAGAACTAGGGGTGGTAAAAAAACACATCCTCCAAAGACAGATATTTACATGGGAATGTGGCAGATAACTAATTGACATATTACTGATCTTGCTGGATTTTGTTCTGCTTTACTTCCATAAATTGCAGGATCTTCTTTTCTTTATCTTTGCCAGAAGATTTAAACTTTAAAAGCCTTGCCCTCATAATTTGCAAGTTAATTTATTTATAAAGAAAATATAAACGCTGCTTAAACAAATTTAAATGAAATTAAAAGTAAAATAAGTAGCCAACCTTATCACTGTCTGTAACCTACTAACAAGGTAAGGAAAGCATCAGATGAGCTACCTGAGAAACTAACGTTACGTTTCCCCACTTTAAAACCAAACAAACATGGTTACTCATCCTGCTGATCAGCTCTCTTCACTGCCATTGAAGGCTCCAACGTGTTTTCTTTTCAGGTGCTGCGTCATAACAGTGGTGCTTCCGTGCCATGTTCATTTGTTTTTACAAAAGTTGCATGTTACGACTTTTTTCACTTTACAAAGCGCAGGCTATTTTAATTATTGTGATCAATTTGCGCCGTCAATCCCGGCGCATGCGCGCTTCATTTGCAGTCTGGACGCTGAGGGTAAACTCCTCACTAATATCCTGCGGCTCTGACTGCAGCGCTGAGAGGGATTCCTGTGGGAGAGGGAGAAAGGCGTTGGGATGGGGGAGGCGCCCCACGGCAGGCAAAAGCCGGCAGTGACACCGTAAAAAGTCGCCAGATTTGTCGCTAGTCGCTTTTTTGAAAAATAGTCGCTGGAGGGGTCTGAAAAGTCGCTGAGTTGGCAACACTGCAACTGCGGCGCTGACTCGCTCCGCCATATTTTTTTTTCTTGCCCCGGATGACGGCGGCGGCGGATGACGCATTAATCGCGCGACACAACTAATCGATGATTAAATTCGTTGCCAACGCTTTTAAAAGTCGATTTTTATCGATTTTATCGATTCGTTGTTGCAGCCCTATACAGTATGTAATTTTGTATTTAAAGTACTTTCAGAAGTTTGAATTTTGAATATGACCGGACTTCTCCTTTAAGAAATAAAACATCGATTAAAAGGGTACTTACCAATGCTGTGCTCCCTTTTAGAGAAGCCTTCTACACCCTGGACTTTAACTCAATGGAGTTGGATGATCAGGCAAAGTACAACGCAGTTAGGAGACTCACTAACACGGAGAGCGTCCTCAGAAATCCTCACTTTCCAAGCAAGTGGAAAATCTACTGGTTGGATGATTTCTTCTTCAAAGAGTACAGTGCGGTAATTATTTTTTCTTTTATTGGCTGTTAGTTTGCAAAAAAGTTTTATTAAGGACCAGTAAACAAATACTTTAATGTAAAATCAGATTTTAGAGAACTACAATATGAGGTTAGAAGACACTTAACAGTCAAGTTAGATGACCAACTTCATTGTAAAGTATCATTTATTTCTGTTCAATTTTTCTTGTATGTGTTGCCAAATCCTGTTTAATGTTTTTATGCCATTATTTTCCACCCTCGGAGGAAAAAACGGTGATAAAGCTACAAGTACCAACAAGTATTAATGGCCTGCTTGATATTAATTATATTAGACATGGCTGGTAAATAAGTTTAAAATCTCTTTAAAAGGTAAAGTGTGGTCAGCAAGGAATAATCAATGGATCATTACCCACACATAAAACTAATACATTAACGTGATTTAATTAATTTAGCGTTAGAAGTCACTAAACAGTCCAGTTAAACGACCAACTTCATTGTAAATAGTGACATTTATTTCCTTTCAGTTTTTTGTATGTCTTTCCAAATCCCTTTCTAGGTTTTTTTTGCTATTATTTTCCACGTTTAGAGGAATTTGGATTAAAATGTAATCCTCAAGCAATAAAGAGAAATTTTAATCAGACATAAACTGATGACAGGGGAATATGCAGAAAAATGGAAGGCCTAAAATCAAACCCTGTGGGACCTCATATTGTACGGTAATCAGACTGAGGATGCAATACTGAAAGTGACGTCCACTGAATATGTTTGAATCCCTTTGAGAGCAGAGCTTTTACAGCATAGCATAAGTGTTAAAAATCAGGTTTTCCAGCATCTATTGTAAACCGCCACCAATAACCTACAGCAGAAGCATGTTACATCTATTTCATCTATTTACACTTTAGCTTGTAGAGTGAATTGCTAAATCTGAATTATGCTCATCCTTTTTTTTATTTTTTATTTCAAGGACTTATCTGCTCTGCTTCTGAAAAAGATGAGTGAGAAGGAGCCGCTTTGTTTCTTCCACATCGGTGCGAGGAGGTATGAGGTGGACTTTACCACTATGACCCAGACCAGAGTCAGCACAGGCTTCCAGAGAGAAATCCGATGCAGGCCTTCCTACCGCTCACCAGAACTGATGCAGCCTCACCTAAAGTTAGTGTTTTGGATCTTTTGCTGTTTGTCTGCAGTATTTATTTCGATTATAGCCGAAACATCATCCCAGTATGAAGATGGGTCCAACCTAATAGAATAGAAAATGGAGAGTTAAAAATGTAGATGTTGTTGGATGATCTAATTTCTTATACTTCATTTATATTTGCTTTTTTTAAAAGCAACAGTGCAACAATTAGACTGAAAATTAGGCATAAACGTAAGCTCTGTATGAATTTGTATGGATTTTAATTATATTGGGATCTTTTCACGTTTCCAGAACTGGAATCCAGTTTGACTCCGCCCACCCTGACAGCTGTGCTGCCGGGGCCAACTTCAGCATAGATCCCCTGCAGGATTTTGACTCTTGGTACCCTCCAGTCTGGCTTCTGGAAAAAGTGGAGGATTACCGCCTGGTAGATGTTCCGGCCGGGACCCTGGCTTACCAAAGCATCAAGGACCTTTTCCACCAAAGCCTTTCAGAAAGCCAGATGGATGTGATCAGCATCCAGCAGGTCCAGAACCTTTTGCACTGGGACAAATACCAAAGGTAAGTTAATATTCAGATAATCAATTAATCATTGATGACTTAGTGAGCTTAGCAAAAAATAATATATAAAGGAAAAAAAAGTTGATAAAGCTACAACACGTTTTTAAGTATTAATGGCCTGCTTGACATTAATTATATTAGACATGGCTGGTAAAGAAGTTTCAAATCTGTTTTAAAGGAAAAGTTTGGTCAGTAAGGAATAATCAATGGATCATTATTTATACCTACAACTAATACGTTTGCAGTGATTTAATGAATTTAGCGTTAATCAGTAAAAAAAAAAAATAGAACGTAATAATTTTCGTTGCGATCACTGAGTCCTTGAGTGGCCATTTTTGCCCAGATAATAGCGCGTTGTGACAAACACCAGATACAGCACTGGGACTTGATCAACAGCCGATACCGCACCGTCACAAACCAGTAGGTGGCAGTAGTGTTCTTTGACAAACATGAATGTCTCAGGTAAAGCACATTAAAATTAAATTACTTTTAATTAACAACACTTATCATTTATTGAACAGTATGTAACAATTTCATATTTAAAGTACTTTCAGAAGTTTAAATTGTGAATATGACCAGGCTTTTCCTTTAAAACTGAAAAGACCCTCTAAATTTCATTCTAAGCTTTCAAATAAATTCCTTCTGTCAAGCAGGTGGCAAAAATTCATGCTGAATTATTTTGTGCATGAAATTAAATCAAAATTGGAATTGCTGGAATTGAATATGAACCCCTAGGTTTTGACACAGTATTCAGCAATCAGAACTCCACAGTAAATGCCAGCTTTATCGCCTAACCGAACCCATTCTGTTTCAGTTCTAATCATTTTCTAAACTCACATTATTACCACAGACAGAAAACACACATGCAGAAGCGCCACACCGAGGGTCAGGGACCTCTGGAAAGACATCTCTTCCACGGGACCACCAAGGAAGCCTCAGAGGGCATCTGCCTCAACAACTTTGACCCCCGAATGGCCGGGCCCAATGGACAAGATTACGGGTTTGGCTCCTACTTCGCTACCAAGGCCTTTACCTCCCACAGCTACACAGATGCAATGAACTCAGATGAGCCAGGCTACATGTTTCTGGCCAAAGTCCTGGTGGGCAGCGTCTGCTTGGGAAAACATCACTACCGCCGACCACCAGACAGCAAGGGACATGTTTATGACACCTGTGTTGACAAGATGCAAAGCCCCGAAATGTTTGTAGTGTTCGACAGCTGCCAGTGCTACCCATACTACCTGATCAAGTACAAAAATCTACCAGCAGAGATTAACCTCCATGGCTGATGAGTTTATTCCAATCAAATCCAGACAGAAACTGTTCATGATACCTGATACATTTATTCAGTTGCAAAAAATGTTCTAATATAACAATTCCAATAAAGCAATATTTCTGATTGTCTTTAGAAACATCTTTGAAAACTGAGATTCATCATCATTTTCAAAATGCTGCTGCACATATCTCCATTTATATGGCAAAAAAGAGTTCTTATAAGGTAATTTTGAAATAATTAAAATGTGGTATTGAGCTGTAAGAAGAAATAGAACCACAGCAAGCAGATAAAATCACTTTATTCACAAGGCAACAGTGATCTATAAAATGAGTCCCTCCTCGCTGTACATACTCTGAATAAAGAACATTTAAGTTAAGAACCAGACTAAAATCAAACTTCTTATAGATGTTTTCTTTTAAAATATTTTTTTTTTTTTGTGTGTGTGGACAAAAAATAAAACTCATAATTAAAATCAGATGCACAAGTTTGAATTAGGAATTTTCTCCCACCTGCATTAACGATTGTGTATCAGCTAAAATCAGCCAAACACCCAAATAATAATAAATAAAATTAGCCTAATCGAGTTGTGGACACATTTTTAACCGTCAATGTTGTCCTAAGTTTGATTTGAATAATTGGCTCCTCTACAAGAAGTGATAGAGGTTTTAAATCTGTTGGTCTCTGAGCTCTGACCTGGTTTAAAGTATGAAACAAATTTTTTTAATGGAACCATGGATCATTCCAGAGGATTAAGTTTTATCAGCTTCAACCATTCCTGATCCAAATAAAGGCATACTATGCAACATTTTTCAGTTAATGTGTTCCATAACGTTTTGGGTGATTAAATGAGTCATTTCAGGTTGAACAAAGGTATTCTCGGCCGCCCTGGTGGTCGGTGGGGGAAATACCGCACTTGCAATTGCAGGAGCCCTCGACCCGGAACCCACAGGCTCAGAAGTCTCGCGAGAGTCGGTCTTGCTTTACGGCAAGAACTTGGCTAACTACAATCTTTGTTATTTAGACACATGCATAACAAATAATGTATGAAAACATGCTAAATTTTCAAACTTGAAAACTGGAACAAAATAGTCCCTTACCGCAGTAGACATGGTGATTCGTTGTGTTCGCCTGTCTGCTAAGCTCAAAACAACCGCGCCTGGCTTGACGGAGAAACCGGGAGAACAGCTGAGCATATTTACGACAGTGCACTTTTACTTTCGCCCTCTGGGGGGAGCCTCGCTGGAAAATCAACACTGGTTGCATAGTATACCTTTAAGGTGTGTCTTTAGTCCGTGTGATAAAAACACCTATCACAATATAAAAAAAAAAACGTTTAACTTGCTTCTGGCTGATTTAGGGCGAAGTTGAAAAATTCAATTCAGGTAGCAGAACAAACCCATATGATGCAATGCTTTAACGCTTTCACCTGTTCTTTGGCTTCTTACCCTCACCGTAACTCCTTTAATCTACAGTCCAGTTCTTGAAGCCACAATTCTCAATTATTATCTGATTTGATAAACATTTTGGGCTCCTGGAACTTGAAGAGGCTGACTTTGGAATGGGGCTCCATGACGATGCTAAACCCAGGAGCCCTGATGGCTCCTAGGTTGTTTCTGACAGACTGGTGATCAGCCTGTAACAATGAACTTCACCGTATCTGGTGAAGGGAGTAAATATCAAATCGAAATAAACGTATCGATGTCTAATGTGGAGTTCTTTGAAATTAGCAGATATTAGTAAAGGTGTATAAAGTCTGTTAGTGCATCTTTGAACATGTTTGGATTCGATTAAGTTTAAATAAATTGCTCCTAATTTGAAATTCCTTTCCACTGCATATTGTTAAACGATTCCTGCATGTAAACTGCTGATAAAAACCAAAAGCTTTAACTGAAATTATGATCAGTATAAAAACAAAACAAACGAGGTATCAATACACAGATGACTATAATGTAGAGAAATTAAAAAAGGGCAGAAGATTTTTTTTTTTTATTAAACTTTTGACTCCTTATTGACATATTACAGTTAAAATAAAATGTGTTGGTCCACCGAAATAAAGGTTTACTAGTGTTCTAACTTTAACACAGAAATAATAGTAAAAATATTATGTTTATATTTTTTACTGGTTAAAAGCATATTGCAGTCCAAAGATAATGAGTTGCCAAAAAATATTGTACTCAAAAGGCAAAGTGATATGACGCAAAAACATAACTTCCACAAAAAAAAACAGCCTGATCACATGCAAAGAAAGTGCTTAAAATGCACCTTAAACACAACGACTGAAAGGAAGCTGTGCTACATATAAACAGATTATAAAATTGTGGTTATAAGCATAAGTTCTGTAAACAAAATAAGGGAAAACAAAAGCTAATTTACCCCACTCTTCTAATTTAAGGGAGAGGTGTTGGAAGTCAGTCCCCAAGAGCTGCTGTACAGCACATTGCTTAAACGTCTGATTCGGATGACCGGAGAATCGCAAAAGCCTCTTAATAAGAAATTATTAGAATCAATAGATCGGAAGCGTGGATAAATCAAAAACATGCAGGACAGCGGCCCATTCGACACAATTTATGGAGAGAATTCATTTCTCTGTAATGCTGTAATTTGCAAATATAATTTTGTGCATAATTTTATGAACTTTAAAATGTCGGTTCGGATACAACTACAAAGACAACAAAATCATGGATATAAAAATACGCACACAGATCTGATAATTACGAGTCTAAAAAGGTTTCTAACTTTGTTCTAGGTGTCCCATTCTCCACAGAAAATCCTCTTTGCCGCTTTAGGACAAGCATAGAGTCAAATAAGTTCAGTGGGGGGAAAAAAATGCTAGACACCAAACAAAACTCAGATTACCCAGCTTTCCACCAGCATTTAAATGCACCATGAATCTTAGATTATGAAATATGACCTGATTTGTGGGTAACCGTCATTTTTTCTGTGTTTCATGTGATTGGTGTACATGAATTTAATGTTTTTTTATGCATAGACACCTTTTTTAATTCGTAATTATCAGATGTGTGTATTTTTATATTTATTATTTCATTTTTTAATATTTTTATTTTTATTAGAACACACATATACAAGTACCATGAAGTTATGCACAAAATTATGCTTAAAAATTACAAGTGAAAAAATACAAAACCTGCATTACAGACAAATCTATTTGGAAATTCTCTGCATGCAAGTTGGAAACCTCGGATTTAATGCTACGTTCACACTGGATGGGCATCAAAAAAGCATCTACTGCTTCATTTTTGCTGCTTGTAAACATTAAGGTCAGGAATGCCTGAAGTGTTTCCAGTAAAGTGTGTCCAGATGCTTCTGCTGCTCCTGTGTTCAATGCCAGAGAGCGGCTTTGCTATATTTGCTGTGATCAGTGGCTGAAAAGTAGTTTTTAAGTGAGAAAGTCCACCTCAAAACATCATCTGTGCAGTCAGTTTACCAAGATTAGGATCCTGTCTTAAAATATTACTTCACTGTTGAAGCCGCTCAGACCCCCACAGGTCCAGTCACCTCTTGGGGGATTTTTCCTACTGTTCATCTCGGGTGGAAAGTAAGCTTGTATGAGTGATAAAAACAGCTTTTAAACAGAGCGTGCACGAGGAGAAATGGGCTCCTGCACGCTCTCCCATGCGTTTAATATGCATTCCCTCTCAGGAGCGGGTACAGGGTTGTGCATGTAATTTTTTTGGGGGGGTCTTTTCAAAAATTAGCGAAAATCCTCCACTGTACCTTTAATTTAGGCGTTCAATAAACTGTTCCAGAGGAGTGATCATAGTGATCTGCATCAACAGTGCTGTGTCTGTCTCGCAGTCAGTTCCCAGATCAGATTCTCTGATTGCTTGATGTGGCGTATCGAGCAGCAAAAGTTACATTTTCCCAACTCCAGCAACTGCTGGTTGTGAAGCGCGTTGCTCAGAAGTTCATGAGGCACTGCTTCACCTGCTCAGATGCGTCAAAATGCGCGACTCTTGCAGCTATAGACGCGCTGCTGGACCTTTTGATCCGCCTTGATGCGTATAAATCACAGACTTTCAATGTAAACCGCCTGCATCTGCTGCTCAAGGTGCATGCAGTGTGAATGTAGCATAAGGGACTAAAAGTATCTTTAAAATGCTAACATTTGCCAGCAGATGGCGCCAGAGAAAAAGTTAAACGATCGAAACAACCAGAAATAACAGATAATACAGTTTCAGTTCATATATCTTCAAATGAAGCCATAAGCATGAGCTGTTCTTTAGGTGGTTGTGTCTTATTAGATTAAATGTTTATTTTCCCATTCAGTCTGTACATTTTTTGTACGTGCCGCACACAGATCATGTCCGAGGGTTTGAATCCAGCACACCGTCCCGTTACTCACAGGCCAGCTTGTTGTCAAAGCTGGACAAGCCGATCGCGAAGGCCTGAAGAGCACACATGGGGTAGCTGTAATCCAGGGTGAAGATGTCTTCGGAAACTCTTCCGAACTGCATAACGATGTAGTCGGCTGAGGTTGGAGGAAACAGAGATTAACAGATTAACAATAGGAAGAATAAATAAAAAGAAATGACTAAGACCTTCTATAAAACTGGGCTTTAAATGTAAAAATAAATCAATACTTACGGTCATTGTCGTGCACTATCTGGAAGTTTTTCACTGAAGCCTGTGTTACTCGACCGTGGAAGTTTAACACGTATGACTGGGTGTCGTCGTTCCACACGGGGGCCTTATTGTGCAGCTCAATCAGGTTTTCCAGCCTGTTGTTTTGCCACCTGCCTACCAGACTCTCCTGTTCCTGTCACACAAACATAAACATGCTGAACTGCAAACTTAAATCTTTCCAGGATTTTTATAACAAAACAATAACAGTGTTCCTGCGGGTCCTTAAAAAGTCTTAAAAGGCATTGAATTCTTCTAAATAAAACTAAGGCCTTAATTGGTATTAAAATGTCTTAAATCAGTCTTTCGTAGGTCTTAATTTTTAAAACATCATAAATAGGATTATTTTTATTACGATTTATTTTTGTAATCTAAATAAAACAAAAAATTGACAATTTTTGTTTTTTTTTATAAAAAAAAATAACGGCTCGCCATTATTGGTTCCGTCCCGATAGCGGAACCAATAAAAGCGTTGTTGCGGCCGGGACATTTGGGAGATGCGCCATTAACTTTTTGTCTGGAAAATATGAGCAAGTGTAAATATAATGAAAATTGTCTATCAAGCCAAGACTTTTCTCCATGGCTAAAACCAGGGAACATACATGAGGCTCAGTAGATTTTGTGCAAGAAGTCATTCAAGCTCGGAATGATGGGAATTAAGGCAGTGGAGTCAAATGCGAAGCGCAAAACACAAAGCGTCAAAATCGAGTTACCGAGAAACAGCCGGTATTTCTCAGTTTTGTTCCACCCTTGTCTCTGCAACGCCTCCACTTATCACCAAATCAAACATACTAAGAAAACAATACAAAGAAAAATAGCTGCAAAAAAGACTTAGCATTGGTTATGTTGTGGCTTTAAAACTGATTTGTTTTGTTCCCTGCTAAAACAAAGTTTGTGAATTCAGTTAAATAATTGTTAAAATATATCTGTCATTTGTGTGTTTTTAGCTTTCTTCCTGTATGGGAAGCTTTTCCAAATTTGAAACAGTGCAGTGGTTTATGTTAAAATAAACCTTTGGGTTAAGTTGTCGCAAGCGGGTTTTTTTTGTGTTTCTTGTAAATTTGGTCTTAAATTTTTACTTCAATTGGCATTAAAAAGTCTTAAAAAGTCTTGAATTTAAGTTGCCTTATGCTGTAGGAACCCTGAATAATAAAGAAATATTTGTATTAATATTTACTGATATAAATCTGAAAAGTTTGGTTTGGATTTCCTGTTATTATTGAGACAACACTACATAACATTCAGTAAATTTACTTCAGAAGAGACCAAATCAGCACATAAGAACCCTCTGAGAGAAAGATAGTAAAAAAAAGTAAGAATTTCCCCTTTTGCTTCAGAAAAATGTATGAAGAATATATTTTATTAGGTTTATACAAATAATCTTAAACATTTGGAGGTAAATAAAAATGACGGAAACTTGGACTTACATTTTGAGGCCTAACAGGGATTCGCTCAAAGTTCATGTTCATCCCTGGGAGGACAACAGTCATTTTACGTGGCCCTTTGAATCCCAGCAGGTTGGTATCCTGCCAAAAAGACAAACAGAGAGAAAGTGATTATTTCGCCTCAAAGGGATCCGGTAAAACCAAACCTGTTCACTGTCCCCTTACATAGCAGATTGCAGCTAGCTCCTGCCGTGTGTTGCTTTCCTCCAGTAGCGTCCCAAGGTTTTTGCAGGGATTGGTGCCGTTATCAAACACTGTGAATCTGGTTCCCATGACATTAGACCTGATTAAAAAGAAACAACACACTGTTGAGAACAAGTTTTTTTTTTCTTTTCTTTTTTTTACAGTCAATCACATGTGGATGCTTAAGAGAAAATTATTTTTGATGTTAAGCAAATGAGTAGTAGCTACTGGCTGATGGATCTACTTCCTGTTCACCAAAGTTACAGGTAATGCTAATATATTCTTACCTCAAACCCCTTAGATAGCCTCATGAGACCATCGGAATCTTGCGAGCTTTCAAGGTTTCACTTGCAGATCAGTCTGGAGACTCTCCGGTAAAGAAAATTTGGAGCCGTTCACCAAACGAACGTCCAATCAGCGTTGGCTTTGAGGCGGGTTGATGCGTGACACAATGAGAAGCGCGACAGTTCAGTCTAAAGAACATGGCGGCTTCAGCCGATGAAACTAGCGTTAGCGTGGCTATCGAGCAAGTTTTATCGGAATTACAGAGTATTTCTTCGCTGAAAGAAGAGCAAAACACGGCTCTGGAGGCTTTTCTCAGAGGAAAAGATGTTTTTGCTCTTCTCCCGACTGGTTTCGGCAAGAGTTTGATCTATCAATTGGCTCCTCTTCGTAGTCGCTCTGTTAGTACGTCATATGCTTCGTTGATCTGATTGGTTTATGTGGCCCGTCTATCACCAACATAGGCCAATCAGCTAACCAGTATTTTCGCCCCTTCCCAAAATTACTTCAACGGACGGTTTCCAGATGGATATGCAGAGCAAATCCATCTGGCGGAGTCAGGTTACATCATCAGAGCAACCTGGGCTCTCATAACGCCTCAGTAATCCCACAGACTGACCAACTCCGCTGCATTGCTGCTGTAATCCAATAAAGTATCCAACAGGCTCATACTTTTTAGTTGGCTAAAATTTAGAAAAATGTGTTGTTGTTTTTTTTTTCTTGGTTTTGCTATTCTTTTTTTCTTTTTCTCAGATACTTAATTTGGGGTTTTTGTTAGTTATCTTAAAAATTCTAACATAAGTAATGAAACTGATGTACAACTTTTCTTTTTTAAACGTTACTGAAATAAAACAACTTTTTCATCATATTGTAAGTTTATGGCCAGCGTATGTAGACGAAAAACTGTATCTGATCTATAAAAAAATACATAATCAGTTTGTGAAAAAAACAACAAAAAGATTTTTTCCCCCAAAAATATTCCTAAAATCTCACCTGTACCAAACACTGCATTTCCTTAAACTAAGCCAGAAGGCTGAAAACATGAGCGGCTCACCTCAGCTTCCCAATAAAACTCTCTCCATCTCGTGACAGATCCGTGGCATCCACTGAAATGAGGTAGTTAGATGTTTTGCACTTCTTTCTCTTCCTTCCAGCCAACAAAAAAACCTTTAAAGAGAGTAATTGCCTTTTAAAAGTAGGTATCTGACAGAACTTATTGTTTAAGGACGTTTTTGAAGTCGCTTACTTCCTCTGAATTTTAACGGCTCACCTTTTTCCCATCGTCTCTCTCCATGTGCATGTAGTAGGTGGGATAGAGGCCTCGGTCCATACCTTTCTTGTCCCGAGTAATCCTGCATTTAATTTTGATGCCACTAGGGGCAGGGGACAGGACAAACTCCTCTAGGTTTGCAGAGTCTGCAAGGAAGCTTTCTGCAGAAGGTGATCCAGGGATTACAGTCTCCTGGTAAAAAAGGAAACAACACATTATGTTTAATTCACATCGTAATTATCTAAGATAGATGGTAAGCAGGCGGCAGAAGCTACTGAACAACTCACAGGAATGTTTTTGCCACTAGAAGCTGAGGCGGGTCTGGTAACGTCGGTTTGGGAGGACAGAGAAGAAATCTGATTCTCGTCCGCATCGTCTTCGTGTTCGCTGGTTTCATCAAAGTTCATACTTCCACACAAACCTGTGGCAGTGGATTAAGAAGGGAGGTTCCAGGTGTTACTTTATTGATTTTTTTTTTTTTAAACTGACTACTGTATGATATTAATTCTTTAATATAGACATGGTCTTCTACTGTTAGGCTCTAAAAAGCCATGTAAAAGTGAACACTATTACAGAATCCATTAAGTCAAGAGTATGTTGAAAATTACTCTCAGCGTTTCCCTTTAAAATGCTTAAAACTGGGAGCCATGTGATCATGCAGTAATGATGATCAAGCAGGGTTTAGGCCTGTGGCATCTTTCTGATAATCAGAATCAGACATACTTTAATAATCCCACTGGGAAAATGATCTAGAAATAAGTAAAAATTTCTTAAATTAAGTGTATTTACCCTTGATTTGAGTAGGTAAATTAGATATTTTGCCAATGGAATTAGTATTTTAAATCTTAAAATAAGATCATTTGATAATATGCCCTGGAAATAAGACAATGCAATTGTGTCTTCTTATTTTAAATCTAAATTGTATTGTTCCATTGGCAAAATGTCTCTTTCATCTCCTCAATTCAAGAACAAATGCAATTATTTTAAGAAAAAATTGACTTATCTAGATTTAGATTTTTTCCAGAGGGAAATTAACTGAATTTATCAGCGTAGATCTCAGTCTTAGCTGCTGCTGGAAACAACTTTCATTCACTCAGGAAGCAGAGGCGCTCCACTAATTTTAAAGCAAGCAGGAAAGGCTAAAAACTGTAATACAGTGCTTTGGGTTACATTAAAGTTCCAACTTGATCAAACATCTGAAAATGATTAGTAAGTTAGCTGCTGTAAAATTTATGATCTTTTTCTGGAACATTCTTATTCCTGGTTCAGTATTTTATCTTCGAAAATGAATGTAAATCAGCCGGCAAATGCAGGATGGGGAGGTTGGAGAACTGAAAGACATCCAGGAAGAAACAAATCTCATGCAGAGCTGGAACGATCATGGAATGCATATTCTAAATGTTACCAGACCTCTTAAAGGGCAGGACTCCAGGTAAAGCTTTGTGCAATGCAACTAGTAGCTTTCATGAATTAAACTATAGGAACTAGAAAGGGGGCTAAGAAGCTTCTCCACCCAGCATGGTGATCCGCTCTTTTAAGAAAGATCATATTGTACATAATAAAACAAATATTATTGTATTGTCCAAGTATCTTTCTTTGGTGTAATGAAAATATGAGGGTTTAAAGGAAGAAAGCTCTAATCCAGAAAATATTTTTTTCATTATTTGTTATTTTGTCTGACAGTAGGCATCATCTTCCTGGTGACTTAAAGTTTTAAACAACCTTTTTTTTTCTTCCCAAATTCAAGACAAACACCCTGTAATACCTACCATTCACCACTAGATGGAAGTAAAATCTATATCAGGATTAAGAAATGATTCTCCCAAAGTAATTCTAGGTTGTGTTTTTTTATGGTCAGACAACACAAATAATGTATCTGTTTGTCCACAATGACAGGTGCTAATCCAAGCATGGTGGTGGCAGGATCATGCTGAGGGTATGTTTCACTGTTACTAGAGCTGATACATGAGGCAAAGTGAGAGGATGAATGACTGAGGAGGAATAAATCAATATTTTTTAAATTTTACAACAATCCAGTCTTGACTTAAAGTAACAGATCAGTCGGAACATTTAAACAAGTTACAAAAACACTGGATTAGCTAAATATATCCATTTTTAAATAAACCAAAATCATGTTTTGAATAATTTGTTGTTCATGTTTGCTTAGATTTTCCAAAGTTGAGCTTTTCCAATTGTATCTAATCTGGTTGTTTGAGACTGAAACATTTTGCGGCACCAAACTTAAAATCAATCAGTGGAGACACTGTTAAAAAGGGAAATAGTTTAAACCTAATACTGGTTTTGCTTAGAGATCAGAATTAAAGTAGGCTTGCTGCTGGAAGCTCACCTTCCCTCTGTAGCAGCTCGTGGATGTCTGTCTTGGGCTCCAGCAGAGTCTCGGTGTCTCCGTCTCTTTCTGTTTCCTCGGCTTTAGGAGACTGAGGTTGAGACGGAGGCTGATGATGAGGCTGGGGTGACTGGGACTGGCTCGCTGACTGAACCTGGATTTGTGTTCCCAGATCAGGAGCTGCTGGAGCTGTGAAAGCTGCCGGTCCATCGATACCTAACAACACAGGAAAGTATTTAGCTCATTCTTTAATTATTCTGTTACCTTTATATAGGAGGCAGTTTTCAAAGGTAAAAACCACCATGGTGGATTGTCGTTTCCTTTTTGTTAGGTTCATTTCTTGCCAGTTCTATTTGTTGTCTGTTCTCTATGGGGGCCAATATCCCTGATGAGAATTGATATTGAAACATGACTAAAACGCTCCGGGCCAAACAAACCTTAGTAAACTCATATTCCCATTTTTTCCCAACTGACTCCTATTTTTAAATCAAACATTCAATCATCACAAGTCATCTGAAATCTTCAGGTAATATTTACAAGTATAATATCAAAAAAGCATGAAATTAAATATTTTACCAATTTTTATTGACTGAGGTATAATTTTCAGTTAGCTATTATATAATATGTAAGATTAAGACTCCTAAGTGAACTAAAATAACTGTGGATAATTTTATGGAATATATATACTAGGGATGCACGATATTGGGATTTTGGCCGATATGCCGATATTTTAAAACTCATGTAGCCGATAACCGATATCGATACTGATGTTAAAGCTGGACAGAAATAAGTAGTCATTGAAAATAGCAGTTTTGTTATCCATTTCTGACACTTTGAAAAATAATAAACTCAAATATATTTTCATATGCTGATATCAAATTGATTTTTAAAAACGCGGTATCGATCTATTTTACTTTCAAAATCTCGTGAAATTTCATCGTTCTGTTACAAACTCTTGTGATATTTTGCAAATTCTTGTGAGATTTTGTTAGTAAAATAGATCGATACCGCGTCAAAATATCAACATATAAAAATAGTGAATAGTGAATTTTCGGGGGATTTCGTAGCATAACGATGACATATAGCAATATTTCATTAGTAAAAGAGATTGATATGGTGTTTTTAAATGGCAATATATCAGCATATGAAGATATTGGGATATTTTAATGTATCAATATTTTTTCCCTCGTCTTTAGAAGTTTTTAAGTTTGTAAAAAAGAAGTTTTTGAGGAAGAAGAAGTAGTATTTATTATTATCTTTTTTTAATATTGGTGGGGTGGCCTATGCCCGATATTCAGTTTTAAGGCCGATACAGGTCGATACCGATAGGGGGCCGATTATATCGTGCATCCCTAATATCAACCAATTTTCAATAAAGTATTAGAATAAATAGAACGTAACAGTAATTTTAAAGCATCAATTGTGAGAGTAGGTCAAGGTATTTACAAGAACCAGAACTGTAATAGTAGGACAATGTTAAAGGGTTTAAATTAGACTAAACTAAGTTATTCAGGTCAAAGTCTTTCCAAAAAAGTAAAAAAAAAAAATAAAAAAACAATCAACTGGATTTTGTTTCCCAGTTTGAAGATGTTTCGCTTCCCATCCAGGAAGCTTTTTTAAATTCAAAATAGGTTAGAAGCCGCATCTTCACTCCCTTGTTATTTATGTTTTGTTTGTTTTTTTCGATTGGCTAAGAAATACTGTAAACAAAGCATAAAAACAGATCAGAGTTTATTTTCAACTATTCACATCAGTTAAGATAATTAAACATCTTTACATTTAAAATGCACAAACCCAGCATTAAGGATTGGCTAAATTTAAAACTAAAAAGAAATCAGATTAATTTAGCTATTATTTTAAATGATCCCAAATGAACAATATGCCATAAATATGTCAACAATCTGTAGCAAACTCACTGTCTGACCTTGTGATGCCCTAATTTGAACTTGAGAACATGGAACCTACAGCCGTCACTTTTCTTTCAACATGAGCTACATTTGATGATTTAAAACTCTCCTTTAAAATTTAAAAGCTCCTAATCAGAGGTTCAGATCTCCAAGTAAAACAGCAACCAGTACTGGTGGATGTCAGTAATAGAAGGGATGAAGCCATTACATTATGTACCATATGATTAAAAGGCTTATTTAAAAGGCTGCTGTGTGTGTTTCTCTCACCATCAATGATGATGTCACTGTTGATGCTGATCTGAGACTCCACCAGCGGGTCCTGCTCCTCTCCTCGCCGCGTCCTGTAGCGCCGCGGTCGGGTCTCGGTGTTGGGCTGGACCATCATGGGTTCCTGACGTTTCCGTCGCTGCTTCTGCTCCAGCAGAGCCCTCTAAACACACAACACCTTTGGCTTTAAAAAGCTATTCTACATGACCTTCCCAGACAAATGATCACATGATTACAAAGAATTATTCAATGTTTCTGATGTGAAGAGGATGAATATAGTTGAGGTGGAAAAAATGACCCAACCAGATGTAATTACATTTATATGCATGATGACATGCAAGCTGTGTCTTCCAGTAAATCCTGCAAACAGCCTGTTTAATGGACAAAAAAGGTCTGCATTGCACCTGCTACTTGAGTGTGATGGAAAATGAGGTATATTTAATGTATTTTGCTTCTGAAAATTCCTCATGGTGATAAAGTAAGAACTCATCCCCCTTCGCTTACCCAACTTTGGTCAGAGCAGCCTTTGGGATTATACAAGCTCATTAATTAGTGCGCCAAGTGCACAACAACACATGCTGATGAGGGATGCTGCTTAGTGAGCTCGAAGACACCAGGAAGCCTAGCCTCAGATTTGGCAAAGTGCGAAAAGCTCATTCTTGATTCATCAGTGGCTCAATTAACAATGAGAAACTGAAAGACGTCTGTTTTACTCTGAGGTGGAAAACTATCCCTAACGAATCTCATGAGATAATCTGGTCACCAAGATGTGAACGCAATCATTGGCAGCAAGAAATGTGTAACATGCCTTTAAATATATTGATCCCAAAGGTTTAGATTAAAATTTAGAATTATTTAACTATCTTTAATATATTAATTAAAATGATGTCGGAGGCTAAACTCTTTCAGCTACTGGCCACTAGGCAGGATAAGGACTCAAATTAATCTTCCTAACTTAAGTTAGGAAGATGTTAAGGCAGATAAAAAAAAAAAGATCTGATTTAGTTTCCATCCATCGAAAAAAAAAATAAACATTCCAAGTTTTCTAAATACTACAGCAAAGTTATTTCTCTTTTAGCAAAAGGGAAAAAAAACCTCCAGGTGTTTCTGATATTCCACTGAGGATGAACACAGGGAAAAGTTTATAATAGCTACTGATAATTAGTGAAGGGTCTGTGATGCTGTGGCCCCTTTTCTATCCCCAAAGTTCCTGGGAGCTCTGCTAAACCGCTCTGGTGTGCCAAATATTTTTTACAAATGTCTGTTTGGTATTTTGTTACTGTTGAACACTAAAAGAAACAAAAAAATTGTAAAAAACAAGCATATTTTCAGAAAAATATGGATAAACAATCACTTCACACTACAGATAAGCTGATAAAAGGAGTTATAATCAATGGTCCCTAATGTCACTGCATTTATTTAACTATGGGAGCCAATTTTCCAAAGAGGGAATCAGTGGCTCATCTAGTTAGAAGGGAGTTATTCTGATTTGAATTTTTCTAAGGCTCAATTATTTTGTTACGGCTAAGAGGTTGACCTTTACATCAGGAAGTCTTCATTAAGGTGTTTACAGTTCTTCCTGCCTGAACAAAAACATCTGGGAAAACGTAAGCTACTGACTTAGTTTAAAGCAGATAATTAACCTGATTCTAGTCGTTTTGAAGCCAATTCAAGGAAAATAACTTTAACTGGAGAAAAGCTGGAATTATTTAAATCAAAAAGTAAAAGTACCATTGAAAGAATAAATATACAAACCTTCTCCATTGTGGACATGAAGAATATCTGCCCAAACTTACTGATCGGTTTCATTCAAAAATGCTACAGATCCCTTTTCTCTCATGAACTCAGATGAAAATGAATGCAGAGTTATCTTTGTCTCCATTTCTGAAGCTCAGAATCAAAAAGTTGATGGCCTCCTTTGCATAATGTGTTCCTCTGACAGAATAGGCCTCTGTCATCATAACAAGCAGCAGAATGAGGCCGTTTCTGTGTCTGTGCAGTCACCGTTCCTAACTGAATGAGTGTCATTAGCGCCGGGAGGAGGGGAGAAAGGAGGTGCACTATGAGTTAAACATGTTATGTTTTTGCTTTTTATTCCGTCAATCTAAAAATTCACTAAATAAAAAAATAGAGGAAATAAAGGGGAAGGGCTGCATTGTTATAACAGGATGTCGAGGAGACACAAAGCACTGCGAAAAATCAGGAAGCATTCAATTCGACAGACGCATCCAAACAATAAACCACTGTGGCTGCACCTCAATTACAGCCGCAGGTTAGGAGATGTCTCTGGTAGAAGAGTCACTTTTTGGGATTTTTTTTTTGTTGATCTCTGTAATCATACAGACTACAAATTATCTAAAAATAAGTAACAGTTTATTAAAATAGTGTATTTATCCTTAATTTGAGTAGGTTAATAATATGATCTCATTGTGTTCTCAATTGCAGGTGAAAAATTTGCAGACGTTCAGGTCATGCATCAAATATATAATAAAACAAACTAAATGGACGTAGAATAATAAAAATATGAGAATTTTTTCTACAATCTTTTGTAAATCAAAGTTTGAGTATCGCTCTGAAATTAGTTCTACCAAAATCTTTTTTTCTTTCAGCTAGAATAAGTCAGGTAGTAGAATCTACATCACAGCAAAAACTATAAGAAATCGTACAAACTTTGAAATATTATAAGTCTCAGTAAAAAGTTCCAGTTCCTACCTGTCTTTCCAGCTTCTGCTGCATCAGACTGCTACAGTCGCCTTCTATGACTCTGCAGAGGAAGAGCAAACATGAAGCAAGTTTCTGCATAATATCACACAAACAGAAATACAATTTTTAGCAACATTTGTTATTGACTTAAGCAAAACATGTAAAATCCTTAAAACCTGTAATCCCTCTCTGAGAAAGGAATCTTTATTCTCCTATAGGAGTTGTTCTGCATATTATTTCGCACATTTTTGTAGAGACATCTGGTAAAGCTACCATGAGGAGATGGTAGCGCAATATTAGGAGTCACTTCTGCCAATCCTGACTCAATTTGGTCGAATAGAAACTCTCCGTCAACCTCACACGAGTAAGAGACAAATCACAGGCTGGTGTCATAACGCAGGCCACTGACTCTCATTTCTCTTTTATCTTTTCCTGTTGGGTAAATCTTTAAATATCACATGTTCTTGTGGCCTGAAATGACTATTTGTGGAGAAGGATCAAAGCTGAGGGAGATCTTCAAATAAGGCCACTCTTCCCTACATGAGGTCAGCTATCAGACGCGTCCTGCTCACTTTGATTTCCCACCCCTTTTAATCAGTTTCCTGTCATGTCTACAGCTGCAGATTTTCACCGATGACTCATCACCCTCGGACTCAAGAGGGCAATTTCTGAATGCACAAAACAGAAACACAGGCCCTTGGATTGGGCTGTCTATTGCTCCATCATCACAGCGTGTAGCCCACTAGTCAGCACAGGCATGACTCATAGTTATTATGCTACCCTTTGCCAAAAATGGTCATCCTAATGAGATCAGAACTCCTATTGTAACAAGTATCATAACAATTATTGCAAAGATGGGGCCATTTTTAAGGTATTTAGACCTTTAGGAAGCATCCAACAAAAAAGTTTACTTGCTTCTACTTTGGTTATCCACATTTCTACTCTAAGTCTGAAAGATGAAGGGTTCTGTTGTGGTGTGTTTTGTGGATTACCTTGATGTGGAGTCGGAGGAGAAGCTGGCAGAGCTGGAGGGCCTTCATGAAAAAAATAACAGCCAAAATAACAGGATTAGGTGGAGAATAAAACATGTAAATCACTTCAGCAACATCATAAATTAACTGAGTAATTAATAATAAAAATAATAATTTCACAAGTGATCTGTAAACCTTAAAATATTTAGTTTGAAGCGTATGTTTTATTCTTAACCTCAATGGCGGGCTCCTATAAAAGCACCACCTAGAAAATAGTTGATCTCTGTAATTCTAAAAATTAGTTACAATTTCTTGAAAATAGAGTATTTAACCTTAATTTGAGTAGGTTAATAAGATGACCTGCCAATGGAATTACCATTTTTACCCTTAAAATATAAGAATTAGATTTTAAGCACTTGAAATTTAAGTGCTTAATTCTCATTTGAAATTATTATTTTTAATGTAAATTGTTTAATTCGACAGTTTCTCACTTACCAGCTAAATCCAAGAAAAAATACACTTATTTTAAGAAAAATTGACTGACTTAGATTTTACTTTTTGTCATGTATGGATTCATTTAGAGAAAATATATTTTTTTATCCATTTACCAATATCATAGGTGTCATACGCTGCAACCTTTATATTGTTCTCTGCTGTATCAAATAACAAGGCAGGGGAACTTAACTGCGTGCTAAGGAGTTAATACTGCTATATTTGTTATAAATGTGTTTAATCAGGGACATAAATTAAAGTTCCAGGACATCAGCACTTGAGAATTAGAGTTTGAAACCCTTCACCTGACTTGTTTCTGTCTGAGCTAATAGAACTGCATTTGAAAAGAGCAGCCTTGTTTTATGGCAAACTGTGACCACCCACTGAAAGCGTTTCATGCAGGGATAAAAGCATATTGATTAAAACTCATTCCTGATTGCACCTCTGAAATAAAGCTAACTGCACAAGCAAAACATGCAAAAAAAAAAAGTGTATAAATGTTTTATGGCTGCTTTAGTTTATATAGAGACAGAGCTTATATATTGAAGCTAAGAGCAACCTTATATAACAGTAAACAGAAAAGATGCATCACAGGCAGATATCTGATATAACACTTAGCACTTTATGTTGTAATAAATCAAATTGGCTCACATTGAAGAAAATACTTTAAAAAACCTTTAACAGATAGAAACGTTCACACAAAGTTAGAAAGTATTAGAGCCCTGAGTAGTCAATGTTTAATTAGTCTATTGCAGCTTAGGTGACAAAAGCGGGTCACGCTTCTCGTGTACCTTCACTGTGTGTCAGAAAACAGAGTAACCATGGCAATTGTAGCTCTATCATCACCAGAACAGCAGCATTGATTAAAACCTCCAGTCACGTTTTGTGCTTTACAGTAGATGGAAGCCTTTAGAATAGAATAGAAAATCCCTTCATTGTCCCACAATGGGGAAATTCTGGCGTTTTCAGCAGCAAAAAGATTATAGAAAAAATGGTCACACCTTAGAAAAATATATAAGAATAACATAATAGTGAAGAGTTAAAAGATAAACAACAAAATACTGTACTCCAAAGTGTTTTAACATTATAAAAACGGTGCACCTGAAGAATAAAATAACCAATATACAGCTGAACATTTTTACAGAAATGGATATTTGAAAGTAGCAGCAACATGTGCAAAATGACAGCAGCATGTTACTTAACCGACTAAGATAGAAACTGCAAAATCAGCATGAATGTAACAACTTATTCAAGTTGTTGGAAACAGTCTTTAGCAGTTTGCTGCAAAGATTTAAAGATGTAAGAAGGAAAGGAGTGCCAAGCTGTGAGGATGTGTTTAGCAGCGTGTCCAAAAACTGAAAGCTCAGAAGCCTTCTACTCGAAAACAAACAGAAGAATTTCTATTTTGCATAAAGTCCTGCAATGTGTAATAGAATACAGCAACATTAGATACCTTTTTTTTCTAAGCAAATGCTAGGTGTTTAGGAACATTTCCATAATGTTCTTTTAGGAATTTATAGGAGTTCTGACACCTCTCACATCAGGTTACCAAAAACTGCACCTTCACCAATAACACTATCTACATGCAGGAAAGATATCATAACACTTTTCGATAACTCCCACAGCGCATGTGGAAAGTGCAGTGAAAAGTTTTGAACTGAAGAGTTTCTGCAAATAAGGTCAACAGCTGAGCAGAAACGTCATTTCATGCGTCAACAGGTTGATTTGAGGTGGTCAGGCTCTGAGGGAATGTCTTCATGAGGACATTTCAAAACATCAAGGGAAAAAAAATGTAACTAACCCTAAGACTATGTTCTTTTTAAGAAAGAAAATATCCTTGTAGGATATAATAGGGATCCTTGCTCATATGTTATGAATAACAAACTATCATCTAAATGTTTGAATCAAGAGTCACGTCCTTTATCCATTCTGGTACAGGTTTGGTGACTCTGTCCCAGTAGTAGGGATGGGAATCGAAAACCGGTTCCTGTTCAGAACCGGTTCCGTATTTTCCGATTCCATGGCATCGTTTGGCAGCTCGCTGAACGATTCTTTTTTCGATTCCCGCAGCACCAGAGCCTAAAGCGCCGGCTCTGGGGAGCACGACTTACGTCACGTTTTTTACGCAAGTTACGCATTTTCGATTCCCGCAGCACCAGAGCCTAGAGCGCCGGCTCTGGGGAGCACGACTTACGTCACGTTTTTTACGCAAGTTACGCATTTTCGATTCCCGCAGCACCAGAGCCTAGAGCGCCGGCTCTGGGGAGCACGACTTACGTTACGTTTTTTACGCAAGTTACGCATTTTCGATTCCCGCAACACCAGAGCCTGGAGCGCCGGCTCTGGGGAGCACGACTTACGTCACGTTTTTTACGTAAGTTACGCAAGTTACGCAAGTTGGAAGAACTATTCGAGGAGGAAGACAACGAGCTGCGGTCACTTTGTGAATCAAAGCGCCCCGTCTTTCCTTAGCCCAGAGGGTAGATCAGGAAATCCAGCTCTGTAAAAGCTTGCCCTCCATCCCCTGCAGGGATAGCGCCACACTGTGGTGGTGGAACAAGCAAGATACGCTGCCCTTGCTATCTGGACTGGCTGAAAACGACCTCTATGTGCAGGCTTCCTCCACGGCTGGAGACACCTTAAGCCCTGAAAGATCCCGTATCCTTCCAGAAAAAGCAGATATGCTCATCTTTCTGCAAAAGAACTGTTAATTTTCCCTACTACTGTTTTATAATTAGTATTTTTTGTTATTTAAAATATATTATTATTCCATCATTTGTTATTAGACATTGTTGGTTATTAAGTTTGTTCTTGTATTCATTTTTCATTTAAACACAGATGTTACTCCAGTTTCATATTTCCTGTGGACATCTTGATCTTGTTGAGTTTGTAAGATTGTGCAATAGTTAAGTAAACAAAGTTGATTCTGATAATCAAACTGTTTGTTCTCCTTTTTACCCCAAATTGGAATCGAAAAAAGAATCGATAAAGAATCGAATCGTTTCATAGAATCGAAAAGGGAATCGGAATCGTGAAAATCTTTTCAATTACCAACCCTACCCAGTAGCCTAGCATTCCTGTTCTAAGCTAACAGAAGTGGCATGTAGTGGGGTCTCCTGCTGCTATTTTAACATTTTACATACCTTTTTACTATGGTTTCCTTACATTTCCATTGCCTATCTAATATTTTATTAACAAGTCCACGCTGCCTCCTCTGACCTCTGCAGCGAACAAGGCGTTTTTGTCCAGACGACAGCAGCTTAGCGGATATTTTCTCTTTTTTCCAAATTCTCTATGCAAACCATAGAAGTTAGATTAAGTTTGAATCCTCATAGATCAGCATTTTCTGAAACAAACAGTCCATCTGGCACTAAACAGTGAGTCACTTTAATCCTGTCTGTGTCGTTCTATTCGAAGATCAGCAAGTCGCCTTCACCATGTCTAGATGCCCAACTCCAGGGAGTATAGACTCTGTTTGATCTATATATTTAGTCTCTCTGTGGTGAGAAACTGTTAAACAAAACAAAGCATCTGTTTTTATGTGTAACTTGAAACTGCGCTTTGAGAGGATTTACGTTTGTGTTAGTTAGAAACTTTTATCAATTTAATTTAATGCATTAAAGGTGTTTTCCGTCCTCTGTTCCGACTCCTTCTGAGGGTATTTTCTTCCTTATTTTTGACATAATCCGTTTCTTATCACATTCTGTATGAAAATGAATGTTTATGTGCATGCATGGGTTCTCTTTGGTCACCTGGCCTTCCTACCACAAAGAGTTTTTAGCTAAATGGGTCCCAGTATGCATGGTAGTCTTTCCAGTCACCTGTTGACTGCTGGGGACAGGAACCGGCTCCCCATTAACCTGCAAGGATAAGTGTGTTTGCATGATGGATGGATGCTTTAAATAGAAAGAGGTACATGTACCTTGAAGCCGATCTTTTTGCACTTAGCTGTCTGCAACCAGACACCTCACCATACATGCATTAAATTAGGTTAATGTATTCAATTAATAATACATTTGTTCAATTAGGAGACCATTAGATGGCATGACTGGAAGAGAACGTAATCTTTCCTGAATATTGAGAAGTTTTGAGGCATACCTAAAGGACACATTGATTTTTCAGTAGTAAGACTGATGGATACTGTGTGAATTTTAGTTCCATGCTTGTTTAAGTCAGCCATGCAGCCAACAGTACACACACTAACCCACCCACACACACTCTCAGAAGGTTGGATAGGCACAAATCACCAACTCTTGTTACAGCAAGCACAGTCACAAGCTGGTGCTTTGAATAAGTAACGACATGATGGCAGAAACATGAGCAAGAGGTACAAGAGTGGACTGCAAGGTAGTCTGTCTACCAGCCAGCTGATAAGACAGGGAGATACGGCAACATGTGGATAAAGAAAAAGGCTTCAGTTCTGTCTAAAAACAACTTTGCTTTCTAGCAAATAACAAAATACAAATTGTTTGGTAGAAGAGAAGGAATATTGGTCCAATTAATTTCGAAAATGACACTTTGGCAACATCGTCTTTCATAAAATAAAAATAGAAATATGTACTGAATGAAGA